TCTTTCTGGTGTGCATCAACCTGCACTGTTTCAATTGGAGTGTACAGGTAATGTGACCTTGCAGTTTTGAAGAACTGGATCCATGCAAGAAATTCAGTCTTACATTGCTGCCCTACTAAAGGGCAAGGATTTTATTTTTTTTTAATGTCTTTTATAGTGCCTATATAATGTTGATTAAAAGTCCAAAATAAGAGCAGCTGATGTCTTTTCCTCTATCAGAGAATTTATTGTAATCTAAAGCTGACAATAATACAACTTCCACAGATTGCTTTCAAATTTATAATTCTTTGCCATATCATTTCTACAAGTGATTCTTGCTAATTCCTGCTAATAAATACATTCCTGAGAATACATTTCCAGAATCCTAAGTTAGAATACTATGTGTACGACTGGCACAAACATCATGGAAATTTTGAGTCACTCCAGCGGCGGAGGTAGCTTTCAGTTTTCATTGTGCACATTTACATGTTTTAAAGATATACAAGAAATAGCATTCTTCACATTGTTTATCTGAAAACGCTTTATGAAACCAATTAATTAGGGCTTAGAAGATTTTCTCACCACATACCTATTTTAAATAGCATTTCCAACACTGACACGGCAGGCCCTATAAAAATGTTACACTTTGACATATTTTTAAACAGTTACTCTTTAAACAATAGACTCTGTTACTGTGTAGTTGGAGAAGCAAATGCGAGAAAAATCTTTGTTTTTACTTACTACTTCCTACCAAGATATCTTTACAATTGAACAGTGAATATTTTGTGAAACTATTTGCTTTTCAATCGCTGCTAAATGTCTGCAATCTGTCAAGGCACGACATTACTTCAGACAGAGGACACATCTCCTCCCCTTCTAACAAGGTGTTCAGCTAGCATTTTGATTTCCACATGATTAACAAGATTCTTACTGAGAAGCCACACTCTTGCCACTTGCAGTTTTAGTCAAATAGTATAAATGACATACATACTCTCTTTTACTGCCTATTAATTTTGTTCTGAAATGTCTCTTTTTCTGAGATTATTCATTGCTGAGGAGACAGGCTGTAATACAAAAAGAAGTTCCATGATTTTGGTACCAATATTCCAGTTTTGTAAGTGAAATGCACGCTAATGACTACCTTCTCTTGGCTTGTTTCTTTGGTAGTGTGATTGTTGCTGGGGAATTCCCCCAAATCCTCAGCAGATCATTAGCAGGTGCCCTCCTGACACCCAGTGCATACCATATGAACTACATTGTATTGCCCCTGGTGAACCTTGCAGTCTGTGTGTTACAATACAACATTATTTATTAGGTCTTATGCCCTCAACTAGCAAGAAATTCACAAATAAAATAGGTTGGATTTAAAGCTGTCAAGGAGTTGCAGTTATATGTGGTTTAAGCTGCCCCCAGCAAATGAATAAATAGAACAAAAGCCCCAGTCATGAAGCTTTTAATTCATCTTTTCATTCATCTTTACCTGGTCAGTTGGTTACTGACTTCTTCTGCCTTCAAAACTTATTTACAAATAAAGGGAATATACTCTGAAGAATCTGCCATCTTAGTTCAGTGAAATTGAGTGACACAAGTTGTTTTGTACTGGGATGGTATTTTGTAGCTGGCATCATAATGCAATGAAAGTTTGCTGCTTGGCAGAGCTGTATGTGAACACATGAGCAATGCTTCCATGATCTATAAATAGTCTCTTAATCCCTGAATTGATCTTCATGTGCTTGCTTAAGGTTCACCCTACTTGTATTTGTATAGATTAATGTCCTTACTTTGATTCAAGATACAATTAGCCGTGTCTCAATGTAATGTTAAGCCCTCCAATTTGTTGTGATGTTGGAGGCAGTTATGAAACGTAAGAGCTGTTTCCCAGACTAAGAGTAGACACAAAAACCAAGTGGTCTGTTAGTCTCCTATTTTGAAGCTGAACATTACTGAACAGGCATATTTAAGTCCACAGTATTCTTTTGCTGGCATGCTTACAAATGCCTTCTAAGTGCTGAGAACAAGACTGATCTGCTGCCATTTAGTAGACAGGATGAGGAGAAACATCTTTTGTGTTATAAATGATTCTTATGCCAGTAATGGTCTAATCAAGAAGCTGGCATTGTTCTCAGCACATCACTTGTGGTTTAAGAACTGCCAGTCTGATGGCCACACATCTGGATCTGGTTTGTTGCTAAGGACAGAGATTCCCAGTGAGGAGTTCTTCATGTGGAATGAGGCTTGTAGTGGTCATTTGAGAAAGAGTTGAGCTACCTATCTAAAAATGATCATCTAGACAAAAGTCTTATGATTTCTGACATGGAACATTAGAGTGTGGTGAAGGATCATCATTTTTTACACTGTGCAGCTTAAGAGCTTGCCTTTCAGGTGAAACACAAGACCAGAACCCTGGGAACTGTGTTATCAATAAACATGATTCTGGGACAATTTCTGCATGAGTCCAAATTTTCATGGTTTTGTTAATCCATTTTGTTTTCCTGCCCTTCACTACTGTTTAAGTGGCATATGCTTGTTTTTCAATCTTAAACTGACATCTGATATTGCTAGATAGTTGAAAAGTTGCATGATGGCACCCTTATGAAGTTGGTACCATTTATAACATTCAAGAAAAACTATGAAAAAAAGATGCTTTTACAATATCAATATATGAATATAATTGATGATGTGACATGAAGCTGAGAAGTCACACTTATTCTGATGACAGCAGCATATCAGCACCCTTTTCTTGTAAAATGCTTATCAGTGATTATGTTGTTAAAGGCTTCCTACACCTACTTCATTTTTACATTGTTCTTCTGGTGCAAGTGGTGTTATGTAGATTTGAAAGGTCTTTCTACTTCTTCCCCACAACAATACTTTCAGCTTCTAAGAAATTCAACTGGTAGATTTTGAGGATGCTTGCTTTTAAGCTGACGGTGTTCACTCAGTAAGACAGCTTGCTTTTTGGCTTAATCTTTGACAAAATGCCAAATTTTGAAATATTTGCTGATGGAGAAGTTGGCCAGTGGTTACAGTCTGGATTAGCTGAACAGATTTTTGCCCACTTGTTTCTAGAATTTGGGTCTAGAATTTACAAAGAGGAATAAATAAATGAAAAAATAAAAAGTACACTACAGTTTACTCAAAATGACAGATTTCTTCTTTTTTGAAAAGATAAAAGGCAAGGTCCCATGCTTAACCGTCTGCTCGACAGAATGGTTTTGGATGCTGCTGTTGGAAGACAAGATCAGTTTGGTGGCTTTGCTTTGCAAGAGCTACTGAAACAAGAATGCTTGAGTTGTTGTTTTCTTTATAAAGGCTGAAATAGAAGCCAGGATATTTTGGCATGGAGAAGCAAAACCAGAATTAGAAAGATCTGTAGCTACTAGAAATTAAGATTTATGTAGTGGAAAGTTTTGAATACTGGAATCCACATCATCAGTGCAGTTAGAGATGGACATGGGGGTTCCTCTGTCCAAATTGGAAAGGAACAAGGGAGCAGGAAGGCTCAGTACCTCCTCCTGTACATGGTGAGAGATAAGAAAGTAAGGAAAAAACATGCTCCTGAGAACAATCATTTCAAACATTCCCTTTCAGGGGCCTTTTCTCCTTTCAGACACTCATAATGATTTTTTTTTCCTGAAAAGTTGATCTCAACACAATAGATTCAAGCAGTGAACCCCTCTATAGGCAATTCGTTGTTAGTCTGCCATGCCCAATTTGCTCTGACAGTTCTTACTCAAGCTGAAATAGGACCCGATAAGCAATCACTGGGCAAATCAGTGCTGGAATATGCTGGCAGAGTGCTAAGGAAGAAGTTTCCCACATAGCATTTGACTGTAAGGACACAGGAATGAAGAGAAGTTTGAGACGTGAATCTTGAGACTGCACAGTGGCAGCTGCACAGGACTGAGCAGCCTATAGATTTGAGAGCTTGAGAAGTAAACCGGTTGTGCATTGAAAGGTAGGCATTTGGAGGTGATAAATTTAGCCCTGACTCATCCAAAGGCAATTTTGACACTAGGGTGGACTAAATTACTTTTAGGAGTTGCATCATGTTTTTACCAGATCGTTTGTTTAGTTTAACCCATTCCTGTTCCTTTGGACAGACATTAGACCTTTCTCACTTGAAATAACCACACAACAGCTTGTGTGTAATGCATACAGCACAGACACATTGTGGGCCACCATGTTCCTTCCTCTAAGAGATGGTCACGTAAAATGAGTCTGCTGAATGTAAACAAACAAAATGACATCTTAAGACTGGACTTCTGTTTTCCCTTATCTTAGTGTAAAAAAATCAGAGCCTTCACTTCTCAGAGCCAAAAATCCGTTCCAGAAAATGACTGAAAGTTCCTTCACAGCTCTGCCTCACAAATTAAACGGTTCTTTCCTCTATCTGGTGCTAACTCCTCAGGTATTTACTGGGAGCATTCGTACGCCGCAGCAAATCCTCTTCCTGATGGACAGGGCCTATCTCCTGGGCCCTGGGCTGTCCTCCTCTGCACCACTTGTGGTGAACTCCTCGTGGCAGGACGGAGCGGCGCGGAGCGGTGCGGGATGCCCGTACAAAGTTACGCTGCACGCTACGCTACCAGCGCAGCGCCGCGCCGTGCCCGCGCAGCACGGGACGCTTCTTTCTCACCACCGACCGCTGTTTGAGCGCTCACCGGCTTCTGGGAGCGCGGTTCTCCTGTATCGAAACGTTTAAAATCTCGATGTCCTCGTTAGAAACCCAGCCAAATCCTAACGCAGATAGCAGAGATGTAGCTGCGTGCCTGACACGGACCTGCACCGGCCGGCCCTCAGCCCGGCTTCCCCTCGGTGCCGGCACTCGGCGTTCCCGCGCGCCGGGGCTCCGACGCCGCTACACCGCGGCCTCCCGCGCCGGCCCTTCCGACGGGGCTCCCTCGGCCCAGCCGCCAGCGCCGGGGAACAACGGGCGGCTCCGGTTTCCGAGGCGGCGGGGCGGGAGGGGGCGGCCCGAGGTGCCGGGCGGTGGGGCGGGCGGCGGCCGCGTGAGCGCGGCCCTCGGCGGGGCGGGAGGCGCTGAGGGGCGGCGGCGCGGACGATGCGCGGCTCTCGCTGAGCGGCCGCCGCCTCTCGCCGCGGGATGAGCGCCTCGGCGGCCACCGGCGTCTTCGTCCTCTCCCTCACCGCCATCCCCGTCACGTACCTCTTCAACTGCCTGGCGGCCGGCGGCAGGTGAGGCGGGCGGCGGAGGGCGGGAGGGGAAGCGGGAGGCTGAGGTGAGGGGAGCCGAGGCGAGGGGCAGCCCGGAGGGTATTTTTAGCGGCGGCACGGGGAGAGAGGGCGGCTGCGGCCGCGGGACTGAGCGGGCCGGGCCGGCGGAGCGAGGGCAGAGCGGGGGCAGAGCCGCCCCGGGAGCGATGCGAGCGGCCCCGCAGCACGGCGCCCCCTCGAGGGACGGCAGCGGGCGCAGCCCGGCATCCTGCTGAGCACACAGCCACGCGTGTTTCGCTACTTTGCTGCACTGCACGGATATCTGCCCCGTGTTTGTAAGGCTTTGCTGCCTCCGTTCCTTCCTCATTTGCCTCCTCCTGGCTCATAACCTAGTTATTTCTCTTGGTTTCTCGCTGCTGGAGAAGTGCTGACTTATGTGATATGGTGCCAATGTTTGTTTCAAATTGATAAACCACAGCACAGAGTTGTTGTGGTAGTAGCGGCTGTAATGGCGTGAAGAAATCCATCACTGGTGGAGTGGAGCGGCAGAAGACTGAAGCCATGAAGCAAGCCAGCAGGCTGGGAGCACCCACCACGGCTCAGGAAGCATCCGGGTGTATATTCCAAAGTGGTTATCTTGCTCTTCTTTTCAGTGATTTAAAATGAAGCTTCACTAAGGCTGAAGTCACCACAATCAGCACTGTTTGCTTATACACTGTTTTCTGGACACACATAGTGGCACTCTGTATATAATCACATGCCAAATATTTCTTAGCTGGTGCTTCTGGAGTTTACCTAACTTTTCCCTCTTTTTATTTTTTTCTCCTCTGTGCACAAGCACAAAACTGAGGACTGAGAAGAGAGTTCACAGAATCAATTGCACATACGGGGATTTAAAGCACAAACACATTTTCTTAATGCACCTTTTCCTAGGGTTTCTGCTGAAGATTTTGGTTCTCCTTTCTACAAACAGCTCACACAGCAGCATTAGAGCCCCCAGTATCTCAGAGGAAAGCTCTGCCCTGCAGAGCCCACCTGTGTTACTGCCAAAGAGCTGATTCCTGCATTCCTGCATCACCTCAAGCAGTGCTGCTTTATGGGGACTGAGGGCTCTTCCGTAGCACTTCCAAAACTGGAAATTAGATCCGTCACAGGTGCTCCACACTGCTGCTCTTAGCCTGCAAAACTAATGTGCTTTACTTGTAAATATGTAGTTTCTAGGTTAGGTAAATGATTGCTGAGGTCAGACTTAATGTCCTTAATGATCCTATTTTTGGCCTTGAAATCTCTGCATTCATGACTTTCATGTCTCATTGGCCTTTGCATTTTCCATCATTTCTATTTATTTTTGCAGACAGCAGTATGGAAACTGATTTTAGTCAGACAAATCTTGACTACTGGACATTTTGTTTATCTATCTATTTTTGTATTTTCTTTTTTTAGATAATCACATGTAAAAAGACAGGCCCATAAATCATGCGAAACTACAAAATGAACCCTATGACAGTCTATGAAATGGACTTTTAGAACAATCTTTTCTGTATTAAAAACAGTTACTTTAAGAGTATGTTATATGTGAGAGTGGGCCTGTAATTTGAGAGCAGCTGATAAAAAAAACTGAATAAATGTAATTCTGCCCCTTTTCCTGTTTTTCTTTTAACCCCCACTTCTCTTTTACAGTTCCTGGTCAATTGTTGCAGTTGGATTACTGGTTCTGGTTTTTATTGCTTTGTTGGCTCGTGTTCTTGTCAAAAGAAAACCACCAAAGGATCCGCTGTTTTATGGTATGTCCTGTTAACATGGGAGCTAAATTCAGAATGTATTGATTTTTGTGAAGGATAATATATAGTGATTGTTTCAGCTTTAAAATTTAACCGTGGCTTCAGAACTCATTCTATACATTTCTATTTTTACACTTTGCCATCAAAGCATGGAGATATCGATTACTTTCTGAAAGGAAACCTTACTTTTAGATTACCTTGTAGCAAAAACACTGCAGCTGTGTCTTTGGCTGGCCCATTTTTTTCTAAGCTGAAAATTTTGCAACATTGGGCTGTAGGTGAAGCAGCACATAAACTTTGTGTATTTATCCTCTGTCTTCCTCCTTATTACAACTTGTAGGCATCTGTCCTGCAGTGTTTTGAGGTTGAGAACTCTCAATTCCCACAGATGTCAAAGGAAATAAAAAGCCTAACATAAGTAAGTTTTCTGTCTCAGATGAGCGACTCTGAATGCCACTCGGCCTTGCTGGATAGGTCTCCCATGGACTGCAGGGGCTAATGCTAATGTGCTAATGGCATTCTCCTTCAAAAATGGCAAGTTACATTTTCTTTTTTTTTTTTTTTGTCCTATCCCTTTTCAGGAGGTAGCGACAATCAAGGTCACTTATGACTAAGATCTTTGAAAGCATACTTGGCCTTCTGGATATGCTGATTTTTCCATGGAGGCTGTACCTACAGCTCCATGGGATTTCACATTCCTTTGAAAAACCTTCTAAGAACTTCCTGAGTTACTAACTATTGAAAAACTATGTGAAACTGTGAAAAATGATGTGAAATTGTCACATCATATGTATGTTAAATATCTGTGACTCAAAATAGACATGTATAGTTCAGTAGATCTCTGCTTGACTGTGTTTATTAGATTGTGAAGTGACTGCATGATTTCAAGTCTTTATACATTTCTAAATTTTATTTTTATTTATTTATTTTTAATTTATTTTCTTCTGTCTTCTTACAGTTTATGCTGTATTTGCCTTTACCAGTGTAGTGAATCTAATAATTGGGCTGGAACAAGATGGAATTATTGATGGATTCATGACTCATTACTTGAGAGAGGTAAAGGACCGCTTGGCTTACAAATACAAATAAAATCTTCACTGTGAATAACTTGTTCCAGTATTTGCCACAGAAAAACAGCCTCTTACATGTTCAACAGGACTTTCTTAAATTTGGTCACTGACCTGTTTAATTGTTATTGGCAAAACTGTCATTGACTTGAAATCACTGACTCATTTGGAAAATTAACATCCCTTTCAACTCCAACCTTATTTAATTAAAGTAATACTGTTCTGTATTAACTTGCATGGTCATTATATGGATGGAAAACAGTTGCTGAAAACCATAGTCAACACATGGGGTGGCTGGGTGCTGCCATATCTAAACGTTTTACCAAGAAGGAAATAATACCGTGCCTTTGCTTTTGCCCAGTTACTTTCATACTTGGAATTGAAGTAGAGTTAACAAAACGATGGTGCCAAACACCTACTCAGCAGAATCTGTTGGCTGCTGATTAGCAACATCCACCAAAAATAGCTCAGTAAGATCTTGCTCTCAAAGTCACTGAAGTCACTGAAAAGATTCCATGAGCTTTAGTGTGGAACGAGTTGGGGCCTACAAAGTTACCTGTTGGCATCATTAACACGTCCAGCACTGCTGTAGATCTCTAGGTTGACAGATGTATCTTTGTTACTTGTTAAATGTGGCTTTGTTTTGTTTCTTTTAACACTGAAATACGGCAGTAGAGCAAAGCAGTGATGATGATCACATGCAGGAGATTTCCCTTCATCTTGCACTCTGTTCTGTAACCATAGAACCGATTTCATTACATTTGATCCTTACTAAATCAGGTTTGTGCTTGGAAACATCTTTATTAACAGTCAAAAGGTGTACTGCTGAACTGTATGATCATCAGTTACTTTTATCAAATCGTTTCCTGCTGTTCTTTATTAATTGATTATTCTTTCTTGAATCATTGCATGATTTTGAAAACAACTTTTCCCTAGGGTGAACCATATCTGAACACTGCGTATGGCCATGTGATCTGCTATTGGGATGGCTCTGCTCATTATCTGATGTATCTTTTGATGGTGGCAGCTATTGCTTGGGAGTAAGTCATTCTGATTTGTGTAATACTTTGCTTGCATTCTCATTTAACCCACGAAGGGCTTTCTTTTCTATGTAGCATTTAGATTGTTCTTTCAGGACTGTTTCATGTCATAGGCTAAAGCAACACTACTGAAACGTCATTACTTTCAGGAACTGTACCCTCTTCAAGTTGCTTTTTCTCTCAGCTTTGTAAGACCAACAAATCCATTGATCTATGGTTTCTCTCCTTCACCCTGAGAACAGTCCATCTGTGTGCTTTATGCTAGTTAAAAGCAAAAGAACACACATTAAAACTATGAGATATCTTGCCCCCATTAGCATATTTACAGTTAGAGTACTGTATGGTTTAGCATTATGATGCACTCTCTCCATTTGGAGAGAATCACTTGCTTAGCAGGCAGCAGCCCTTTCTACAAGTTCTTTTCTTTATTTCTGTTGAAGAAGGTTTGAGAAGATAAACTCTTGAATCCAGAGGCTAATGTACACACACTGGCAATAGGAGCAACACTGGAATTCAGTTAATTAATAAATAATTATTATTTTATCGTATTTGCGTACATACAACATGCAAAATCACACAGTCAGCCTTCAGATGAGTGAAACATAATGACAGACAACTAAGTATGAGCAGATCCTGTACTATTCATGCAATAGCCTGCTCAGACAGGAGGGTAGTATTCTAAATTCCCACCTCGAAACAAGAATCCAATGCTGTCTTGTGGTGCAGATCTTAAATATTTGCTTACTAGGACACAACCACACCAATCATAACATTTGAAGATGATTTGGAGGTAGTGGATTTTTAGGGATAGTGCAAAAATGTTGTTTTTGTATTTAGACATTTTTTATTTTTTATTTTTAACAGACAAAGCTATAGAACCATTGGCCTTTACTGGTTGGGCTCCATTTTCATGAGCATCATTGTCTTTATGCCTGGAAACATTGTGGGTAAGGATGTAATTATTTAACTAAATTTCTCCTGTGAAACGTTTTCAAAATTCAGCAATAGGTTATTTCTGTTTTGCTGCATTCTAAGTCTTAAATCTAAGTCTTCCAAGTCTTCCTGTTTATAATGAAGTGAAAGACAAATTTTAGGACTATCTATAACAGAGAATATTTCAAAATTTAAATATGAAATATGAAAAGAAATTGTTTTGATTCACATTCTCAAGGAAAAATAAAAGTATTGTATTTTGCTATGCCCATAAGATTTCATCCAAATTAGGTTTAATTTTAGCAGGGATACAGCACTTGTCTCCAAGTAAATAATATCAAACTTATTTTGCAGAAAATTACTAATTAATATTATGACTTTCAAGCAGCATTAGGGTCATCCAGATCACCTTTAACAAAATGAAATCTGGAAGTTATTCAATTTTCAAAATAAATTGAACATTTTTTGATTAAGATAAATCATTGCATAACTGCTAGAGATTAGAATTGTAATTTAAGTATTCACATAATGTCTTTCTGGCGCATGGTGCCTTAAAGTGTCCCCACTTTCAGGATGTTGAAAAACCACAAAATACCAGATCTTAAAAAATAGGTAAATTTCTTTTTTTTTTCCTTTTTTTTTCCTTCTCCAAAGCATAGTCTCTATTTGAAGTAAGTTCCACTAGGAGAGTTCACAGCCCTCCATTCCTGTAGGATTACCTAGCACAGAGTCACTGATTTGGTTTCTTATCCTCTCCAAAAAAGGACAATTTCCCTCATTTCTGACATGCCTTCCTGGCTGATAGGTTCAGTCTCACTGTGCCTGGCACTGTTGAGTACCAGATTTTCAAGATCCGCTTTGCTTTCACAGCAGCTTCCAGTGTTTTATGTCTACACTACTCCTTTCTTCACAAGGAGAGTGGTTAGGCCCTGGAACGGGCTGCCCAGGGAGGTTGTGGATGCCCCGTCCTTGGACGTGTTCAAGGCCAGGTTGGACGGGGTCCTGGGCAACCTGATCTGAATGTGTACGTTTGGTGGCCCTGCTAGGCAGGGGGGTTGGAACTACATGATCCTTGAGGTCCCTTCCAACCCGGGTGATTCTGTGATTCTGTGTGATTCTGTGATTCTGTGATACACTACCATAGCTGCTTCCGGTTTGATATTAGATACGTAGTATTCAGCACAGCTTACAGATTTTTCAAGTACCTTATGATCATTTTGTTCTAACAGGAAAATACGGAACAAAAGTGTGTCCTGCTTTTTTCTTGAGTGTACCATATATTTGCCTTCCCATCTGGGCTGGGTTCCGAATTTATAATCAACCTTCAGCAACTCCTGATACTCCAGTCAAGGTAATATTAATGTATTTAAGTGTTGGTTACTGTTAGAAAAACTCAAATATGCCTATTGTCTGTATGGAGTTTTCCAGGCCCCTCTGTGGCAGAGGAATGCTTTATAATTGTTCACTGTTACGACAATTGCTGCCAGGCTGTGTAGACACTGTAAATATACCTGTACTACAAGAACATATCATTAAGGTGGGATAAAGGAATAGCAAAATTCTCTCATATTTAAAGCAAAGGACTCATTTTTAAAGGTAATGTTGTTACTTCCCTCTATTTATTCAGCTTTTGACTGTTTCAATTCCTCAACTGATGGAAACATTAAAATATACCAATGTCATAAGGTGCCACAAAATCCTTAGAGAACTTCTACAGAAAAATATTCTTCCGTAGAAGACTTACAGACTTTATGTAATTTAAACATTTCCTTCCTTTTTGTGCATGTGTGTGTGTGTATTCTGCAATATTAGATTGCAGAGGTAATATTAATTGTTCAATTATTACTCACTAATTGTTTCTACACTTTACGTTTTCAAAGAAGATTGTAAAAATCATCTTTACTTACAAGCTGGTTAGGCTGTTGCCATTGAATTTAATAGCTGGTCTGTAATAATATAACTGAGCAATAAAAAAATGGAATAATGGCTTATGCACTGTCTTACTGAAAACAAACAAAATAAAACAACCCTGTAATACAATGCACTGAACAGACATTTAACTCTTTGTTGCCATTTGCAAGCCAGTTTATTGCCACAGCAATAAATATAATGTAAATATAATACAATGTAATATATTGTAATATAACCAAGTAATATTTTTGCATCTCAAGAGCTCTCAAGTCCCTGTCAGCTTCATTCTATAGCTGAAAATAAAGACACAGATGAAAAGAATTACTATTCCATAGCTAACAGGAGCACATTCTAGGGAGTAGAATAACAGCAGATGACGCACTGAAAAATATTCCAGAAATGTATGAAAGAGAACATTCAGCCATCCATCCACACATGATGAATCTTAGGTGAGGAAGAGGAGCATAGACAGACTTTCGTATCTCCTGAAGTTTGAAGATAAACTATGGGCTGTGCCTCGCTTTTGGGGCACATCCTTCTTAAAGGTAAAAATCAAGGAAAGTGTATGTGCCAAACTCCCTTCTACTCTCCCGTATGATCTTGCAGGAAATCACGTCCCATATTGTGGAAGTCTGAGCTGATTTACTTAAACTTGTCAGTAATTATCAGCCAGAAGCTTATCTGTTAGAAGTAGTTAAGTGTAGTTAAATGTAGCACTGACTTTTGTTGAATGTATTAGTGAGAACATTCTTTGCATGAAGAATTGGTGAAGGTTTCGCTTTGTTTTCCCAGCAAAGAAAACACTGCAGAAATTGCTGTAGTAGTAAATATGTGATGGGTTGTTTATTTGCTGAAATACAGCCACATCTCCAGCGCTCACAAGGAGTTCAACCACTTACTTAGATTTGGTACTGGTACACATGCCAGGGAAACTCACTTTCTAAATTTTCTTTCAAAAAGAGACTGAATTAGAAGCCTGTGAGCTGAAAGTTTGACGGTGCACTTGTAAGTGAATCCTTTCTTGGGAAGCTGAACTTCCTTTCCTTAGAAGACCATAAAAAAAAAGTCTTCATTCCTTTCACCAGGGCCATCAAGCCTTGCCCAGCCACTTCGTTTTCAGAACTCGTTTTCTGTTCACAGCTATTTTATCCTCTGTATCCAAGGATTACAACTGGAAATTTGTATCTCGGTCCATTAACAGTATAATCTAAAATACCTTCAAGCCGTAACAAAATTGCTATTATTTTAATAAAACTTTCTCAGCTCTAAAGTGAGTATTGTTTCCAGGAAATAGTTGTGTATAATGCTACTGCTAATCAGTTTAAATAATCATTGTAAATCCTGGAAATAGGATCTTTCAAAAGATCAATTACAGTTAGCTGAAAGATTGAACAGCTTCAGCTGTCATGCAGTCAGTGTAGGTTTAGATAGAAACTTTAATAATGACTTTAAGTGTGATAGAGCAAATATGGAGAAGAACTTACATGGAAGCAACAGATGCAATTCTGGGGCCAAAATACTCATTGCTATAAGGCTAGGATAAACCATTAAGTTAAACAAATGAATTAATAAATAAAACCCAAATAAAAGCAAAGCAACAAAACTCAAGGAGATAATCAAATGTTGGGTGTTTTTTAATAGAAGTGGTGCATAGGAAAGGAGAAGAATTATGCCCTCACTTAGAATCAAAGCAAACTGTGCCACGCTTTTTTACAAAGCCCAGCAGGTTATCTCTAAGTGTATCAGCTCAGGGAACAGGTTAATGTAATTTAAAATTCATTTACAAAATTAAAACACATAAAGTCAGATTTGTACATGAATTCTGGAGGGTCTGACTTCTACAGACAGCTCATAAGATTATTCCTGTTCCTTAAATCTGAGCATGCAAGGAGCCCCTCAGAGGTTATGGAAAATTCCTTTTCCTGGACGCGAGAGAAAATGCTCCATGTGCCTGCACATTTCCTCACCACACAAAAGAAACAGCAGTGTTGGCAGGACCCGTGCAGAGGTCAGTTTTGTTTGCAGTAAGTAGGAGACCTGTAGCAGGTTGTCTCTGCCAGGCCGATGTGCTTAGCGCCTCATTCATTTCAGCATGTGCTGATGTGACTCTTCTGTGTAAAAAGAAGCGTAGGGCAAAGTTACTGTGCAGCTTAGCTCTGACAGTAAAGTGCATCTTTTCCCCTTCTTAAGCTTTTCATTTCTTTTTTGCTTAGTGTAGACGTAGAGAAAAAAGGTGCACTCATTTCTGCACCTTGGCCATTTCACAAACTAGTACTGCACCAAAATTTGTTATAGTTTTGTGATCACAGTGAATATATACATTCAGTAACGTACCTTTTGACATGAGAGAGTGATGCATATAAATATATATGGAAATGTGTGTATGCTTCATACTTAGACTAAGTGGAACGTCCATGTAGTAGTTTATATCTGATAATGATTTAGCTCGACAGCCCTGGGAAGTCTTTGTCTCTCTCTCGAATAAATGTTAGAATATACATACATTATTTGCATGTATTTAAGCGCAGCAACATTTATAAAAGTTCTTCAAATACTGCAAAGCAACAGGTTTTTTTTCCTGAAAAAGATCAAAAAATAAAATAAAATAAATAGGCCGTCCCTTTCTTAGAGCTTGAGTATCAAATGGCCTTATTTTTGTTAAACTACAGTGCAGATCTTACAGTCCTTGCCCAGGAACTGAGCTTGCAAATTAGTTCTCCTTCTTTAGGGCTTTTATTGTAATCTCGAGTGCTTTTAACTGTGCCTCTACATCCTAATTATTGTTTTGTGCTTTTGGAGACAATTCCACAAGTATAAGACAGGAAGGAGATCAGATTTTTCTTTTTGCTGTGTGCATGCCAACACATGGCAAATAAAAAGGAAGAGGAAATGACTAACACATATAAATGGGGAAGTTCTCCCCCTGAACTACAAAGATACTCTGATGTGCTTACCACGTTGTCCGTCAATACGCAGTGCTGAAACTGTACCCAGAATGGTTTCCATGAGTCTAATATGTTCTACCAAGTAGGCCAAGCAGTCACTCTTGTTCCTCCATGTCATCCTCCTGGTTAGATTTCCAAACAGCTTTTGGTAACGCAGAGCCATCAGCTCTTACAGGCACACATGGTAGGCTATAGGGGATCTTGCTCTGAAGCTATTTCTGCATTACGTATTTGGGTATAATATTTGTTCACTGACCTCAGCAGAGACCACAGAAATGTTTTTCTTTTATCCACGTTCCTTTAATTTCAGTAGCGTCACAGGCTGCTGAAAATAAGCATTCACTGTCACTGATGAGATGAGCTCTCATTTTGCTGTCCCTCCAAACAGTCCTTAGATTCAGTTTCAAATGTTTGAGATAATAAACCAATGCTTCTAAAGCTTTTCTACATTTAAATTAACAATAGATGCAACTTTAAAGGAAGTTTGTAATACTGCTTTAAAGATTGATGTGAGTTCAGGGTTATTTAAGTTGCTTTGAAAGTTAACTAATCCATATTCAAATGGCTTCAGTTGGATCCATCCATTTCTAGAGTTTATTCAGACTAGTTTTCCTGACTGCACGCTGTCAAGTCGAAGATCTCCTTTTCACATGCAGAAATCTTTCAGTCCCTGAAATTAGTGGAAAAATAAGGTAACAACTGTGAACTGCTTCTATCACAATGTTTCACTGCTGGAACCTTCTTGCAGCGAATGATCTGGAGCTAATTACATGTCAGGCAGAGCTGGGATGTATTAAACGTGTTGTGCATTGCAGGTGGTTCAGGAAGTTCAGAAGAAAGGACTCCTAAGGCGACCAATGGATTTAATGTTAGCTGCGTATCTCGTTCTGGCAGCGGGGTTTTGCATATTCAGGGGCATGGTAAGTTGAAGATATTTCAATATTACAGCCTTTCCTTTTCAGTCAAAATGTTAAACTTGTTTTTCTAAAAGATATTTTTGCAACTGTGTGGAAAAAATGTGTACATTTCAGTCAAGGAAAATTCCTTCATTATCAAGATTGGAATAGGCCTTAGATACATAAACTGAAATTTAGGATAATTATTGGTTCTTTGTTTCTCCGTTTTACCATATGTAAAGTGTGTTTTTCAGAAGAAATTGCACACAATTTCGGGAGTACATAGCATCCCAGGTGCAGATCAATGGAACAAAATTGTTTTGAGTGATTTAGAGTTGCATTTATGTTCAAGAACATTGAGGTAAGCCAACTAAATTAAGTCTCTGTTTTTATAAACAGATACTTCATTGAAATTATATAGGAAACAAAATTAATTTATACTATGTTGGAGAGAAAAAAAAACACAAAAAGCTCCCAAAACACTGAACCCCCAAACAAAAAAAAACTTGTTTCTACTTACCAAATATGATTTGGTCTTTGTGTTTGTTTTAAGCACACTTGATTGAATTAAAATTTCAGAGGGAATGAGTCAATGTTGAAAATGCTTGTTGAAGTAGATAAATTCAGTAGTAGGTCAATCCAGTTGTTAGTAAAGAAAACGCCTTCTGTCTTAAGCAGAAAGGAATTTGTGTATCATCCAGTCTCAAAGTTCAGATGTTTAAGCATCTTAAACCTACTGCAGATTGCCCTGCTGTAGTTCTGCTCCTCAATTACACTCATCTGCTGTTTCTCCAAAAACTTGCCTCACAACCTCCCCCCTTTTTCCCCCCTTTTAACTTGTTGCAGATCACTTCATTTCTTATGTACAACGCTATTTCAGAGCGCTACTCGTGCTGGCTGATCTGCTATTTCACCTACAGTTTTGCTGTGGGAAGTATTCTCTCATGCTCTAGCTTCTAAGTTTAGTCTGTAGTCCCACTTCATTTCCTATGAGGAATAACTTGCTGATTTTTTATTTTTTCTTTATAGTATGTGGTCATTTCCATATAGTTTTACATAACCAAAACAGGAACAGCTTACTGGCCTTTCTTCTACATACAGAGATCCACCAAACATCTCCATGTAGCTGCAGTAGCCATGATTTTATGAAAGTGCTCAGAAATATAATATATTAGAACACACCCAGACCTTCTTGGATGCTCATATTGGAAAAGAACGGGGAGGAATATCCATTTCTTGTAAATCTTCCTATTTCTTGCCAAAGTCACACAACAAATACACATAATATTCGGTTGTGCAAAAGTCATGTTTAGCCCTGCTGGTAACTACGTGTTAATAATGCCTTGCTGCAAGTCTTACTGAGGCAGCTCTTGATAGAGATTGCTTACTCCTTTTAGAATAGTTATTTTTTTGTAGAAGGTGTTTTAAGGATCCTGTGAGAAATCATTCCTTGTGGAACTGGATCTTGTTCATTGGGAACTTTGTTCGCTCTACAGGAATGTAAAATCCACTTCTCTCTGCTACTCCCTTTAAAAATCATTATTGTTGTTTTTAATTTACACTTGTCTTTGGAATCTGCATTGCTCTCCACTGCTACTTTGCCACATTGCAAATCTTTTCTTGGACTACACCAGTAGCTGCTATCCTAAACTTGAGTGCTTAACCGGAAGTTTCCTCACACTCCTTGAGCAATTTTCCATTCCAAAGCCCATTCACTGGGATTAAAGTCTGGCTGTCAGACCAAATCAATAATTGTTATATTTTTTACTAGCACAGCCAAGTGATTGAATTCTCTTCCAGCCAAAATTTTTCAAGTATGCTGTGAGCATTTCCTCAGCACCTCCCTGAGCAGCATGAGAGGAGACTGCATTTCAGGCTTTTTTTTGTTTCCCCTTTTTAAATTGATGATTAAAGGAATCACCTTTGGAACAGATGCTAAGCAAGTCTCATAGGAAGCAGTACTTCAGCCCACTCCTAGAGCCTTAGGGCTGGTAACAGGTTTAGAGAAAGTCCTTTGTTCACGGGAAGTTTTAAAAATTCTTCTTAGATTGCTCTGGATTGCCCTGCTGAACTCTGCCGGCTATATATTCAACTGCACGAGCCTTATATAAAAGATCCTGCTGCCTATCCTAAGCTTCAGGTAAAGCATTGACTGTGAAAGCATACAGTGTTACGAAGTGATTTGTTACCTGGCACAAAGATGACGCCACGGGTTACACAGATGACAAGATCAAGAAGGAAAGTATTTGTTTATGGCAAGTTAAACGGTATTTTGTATTTCCTACTAAACAGCCTTCCAGGATACCAGTTCTTCATTGTGATAAACGTAACCTCGATTCAGATCTGTTACCTGGAGTTACACATCCTAATTACTCAGGCTTTTTAAAATATATTTCATGAGATAGATCCGTGTGCTTTTTATAATCATTATTCTCTTAGATGGACAAAGCAGACCTTCAGTCTGGAATAATGGAGCAAAAAGAGGTGCAGAACTAGGTTCCTTAAGCTCATGTTGTGCTTCTGTCACCAATGACATGCTCCTTCAACCACGATGCCTCCTACCAAACCTATTTAAATGCACATTTGCTTCAGTTTTGTAATATTTGCAAAGTTGCCATTCTTTTGCAAGCCTGTCTGCTGCTTATAAGGACAGGTCCTGAAGTGATAAGAAGACTCACCATTCAGACAGTGACCTATACTTTCTGGAAAAAGGGGTATTCAGTATAGTCAATACATTTCACACTTCAATATATTTCACACTCCAAAACAGAAAGCACTATGGAGCTTGAGAAATGGACTCTGAATAGCATCCAGTGGATGTACTGGATGGTGAGTTAGGACAAGCCATGCTTATTGGCATGGTCTCAGGATGGCAAGCAGTATGATGAGGGAAAACATGTCCTGGGATAAAGAGGATTTGGATCAGGCAAAGAGACAACAGCCATTGATAGTGGTTGGGGCCTGGGGGTGTATGGATCCAGTCAACAGCATCCTCTTTTCTCAAAGAGGTTTTAGATACAAAGTTTTGAATAATCTCAATTCTACAGTCAACAGCTGGCTAACTTTTAATGCACCTCCCTCGTATTGCAAAGGAACTAATATTTGTGTTTAAAATGCAGATGCTGGCATATATGTTCTACTCCGTGCCATACTACGTGATTGCTTTGTATGGCCTACTGGTGCCTGGTTGTTCCTGGATGCCTGATTTAACCCTTATACATGCTGGAGGACTAGCTCAGGTATTTCTCCACAAAATATTCACTCTTGAATTACTAGTTAATAAGTAGAGAACTATGGAATATGTAAGGAGAGCAGGGCTTGACCTAGCCATGTCGGTTTTATGCCATATTAACACAGATCATCTTTCGTATCTGTGTAAAACTAACTTGAGGGAATGGAGACTCAAGCTTATTTTATATTTGACTGCTTTCTTGCCTTGGTAGACTTTTCTCTTTCCACTGAATCATTCAATCGGGAAAATGCAAACCTTATTGAGCACCATGCATTCTTTAGCTGAGACTATGAAAGAAACCTGTCCCAAAGTGCCAGCAGTGGGTCATGTGAAAAAACATACAGCTCCAACAAAACAGTAACAGTGTTCCCATAATATGTATGATATGCCAGATCAGTGGTTTGAAAAGCACAAGTGGAACAAGGAGCTACTAGTCACAGTGAACAGACAGTGACATTAGGACACACTCCTGTTGCCAAAGGCATGCTAGTGATCATACTGAACTCTGTTTGGGTTCTCTTAAACAGCTCTTAGTGCTGGTGGCTGTAAGACTGACCAAAAGAAAAAGAAACTGACAAGCAGTAATAAACTACCTATCATGCCATACAGATAAACATTCACAGCTGAGACAATGACAAATAATTTGTACTGTATGCAGGAAATGTATTCTGAGTATCCAGACAACACAGGAAAAATATGCAGTCAGTGCTTTAACAATAATGAAAACATTGAGACACAGCAGTAAGGGTAAATCAAGTACTGTTATTAGACAAACACAAACCAACACTTTGTTCCCTGTTGCAGAGATAACATTCATGGGTACAAACTGCAGTCCAGCTTAACTGCCCACTCAGGATGGAGGGAGTGACAGCTTACTTTCCATTTGTCAGCTGGTATCACAGAGAATGACTTTTTTATCCAACAATTTATAGATGATCTTGAATCACCAAATTGTATCAAAACAGAATCTGACAAACATATTATCCAAAAGGTATAAAAAAATATACAACTGTGTTTGGCACAATCTAACCTAAAAAAAGCACAAGCTAGCTAACGTAAGCAAGGCAGCATTGGGAACATTTCTCTACTGACAGATTGCTCAGGTTTCATGAATTCCTCAAGCTGGCAGGTTAAGAACTGCTTCTTCAATGATTATTGAGCCCTTTGTGAAATAAACCAGAAGTCAAAGTATGCTGAATGTCACAAACCTACCTACAAACTCAGAACCTCAGACTGGAGGGGATCTGGTTTTGTTTTTTAAAAGAAATCTTTCTGAAGTGGTATTTTTACTCAGAATTTCCCATTTTAATCTTTGAATCTTGTGCTATGTACAAAACTTTGTCGGTTGACAAAATCCAATTGATAAAGGGAACTCATGTTGCTGTACACTCCCCACATTTCCTTTGGGATATTTGGGTTTTTTTTGTACTTCTAACTGCAATGCACAGCAGAATGAACTTCAGTCATCACACAACAGAAAAAGATTTACTTGACTTTGTGAACTTTGAGCAACTGAGGAAGAAAAATGTGACATAATGGACCAAAGGCACCTTTCTAGAGCGTTTTTTTGTTACTCAGAGGGATACAACACATTTTTGGGTTTGCCTTAGGTTAAAAAACTTGCAGCTGATGATCAAAATGCAGTACTGAATTGGATTTTGCCTTCAGTTATGAGCAAAGGTCCAAAAAAAAGGTAAACAACTAGTGACAGAAATGGGGCATTGACCCCAGGAACGAACACTGCTCCTACAGATGTCAGATGTTGGCATCTCAGTTGTTTTTATTCCTATCATTAGGATATATATACTTTTTGCAAAAAAAAAAACAAGTCTCAAAACGCCACATGATGCATCCAAACAAAGACCCTCTCAAAGTGCCTGCCCTTTCACACACAAAAATAACCATTCCTCTCTGTATTTATTGCTTCAGAATTACACATCACTCTCAGTTAAATGGTTGTTCCTGACATTCAGACTTCAAGAACAGGTTGTAACTCTTAAACACTGTGAAGTTGAAGGAAGAGCTCTTTAAATGTCAAAGCACCAAAGTACCAGAGCTTGGATTATTACAGTTTGCACACTCTCTGTGAACTTGAAAAAATTGGTGTTCACCTACGCAAGTGAGCTACATGTGAAGCAATTTAAGAGCCATACCCCTGCTGCCCACAACCAGTGGGTACCACCTGTCTCACCAGTTTTTTGCAGCCTATTTCTCTATACTGTCCAAAATATAGAAAGTTTTTCTTTACTCCTCCATAGATCTGCTCTCCTCAATTCTGCAGTTTTTGGTGGCTTCTTTCTGCAGTGTCTCAGATCTGCAGGAGAACTAAAGCAAAGGAACATATTTTTCTAGGTTACTCTCTCCCCATTCCATTTGATGACTTTCCTTAGGTACATGAGATCTGATCCAATCCCTTCCAAAATCAGTTATAATTTTTTTATTTGATTTTAATCTGTATTAGAAGGAACCTTTCTCCAGGCTCTTTTCCCCTGGCTGGAGGACTTTCTTGTCTGCAGGGTAACAAAACCCAACAACTGCAGTAATGCTACAGACAAAAAATATTGTAAAAAACCCAAACTACTTCATACTGACAAGGAGACTAATGTGTAGCAGGAAATGTAAATTACAGCTGTCACACTGAGCAGTGCCAAACCCAGCACCAGTCTTCTTCCAGTGATTGTGGAATGGCCCCACCAGCACACTGTCAAGGCTCCAAGTTTAACAAAGGCCACATGTTTATTAAACAGAAGAGGCTACCTGAGAAGTTAACCTGTAGCACATTATCTGGTTGATTTCTCAGCCAAGTTCTGATTCTCAAAATTCTCCACTTGAAGGTTCAGTGGCAGAAAGCACCAAGGATTGGTTTATTCACTGGGAAGATATGATCACAGCAGACTCAAGGTTGCCCTCACTTACTGAAATACCAGCCTAGTGCACAACTGGCACAGTGATCTGGAATGACTAACAGCTCTTACCTTTCTAAAGAACATGGATTGGGCACTTGAAGTCAGAGCACGATTAGGCTACTGGCAAATGAGAGACCTGCTTTAAAGCATTCTCTTTCCTCCTCCCACCAAGACTAAAAACCCAAACCAACCAGAAAAACAGAAGCTGAGTACAGTCATGGAAAGATAGAAGATTAAAAGCCTAACACAGTCTACATGAAGGTAAATCAAACTTGAAAAAAAAATTGACTTTAACAGACCTCAATGGCTTCCTTGGTAATGCAAAGAAAAAAGCATTACACAGACAAAACAAGTCTAATAAATAATAATCATATAGTGCATTCACTAGCTAGTGAAAATCTTCATGGGTTACAAAGAGAAAAAAAAAGCAGACAAATGTTTCAATTTTCTATAACAGTGAAAGCTCACCAGTGTGCTCCAGCTCTTGTAAGAGACACAAATCACACAGTAAGGCTAAGATGTTCTAAGGCATCCGAGGGGTTTGAGGAGTTACAGCTCCTTCTGCCAAGTTTGTGAACTCACTGTTACACATAGTTGGGCCACTTCTGGAGACAGGAGATCCTTGCAAGAGGCACACAGCTTAACCCCTAAGCAGTTCTGAGATGCCCTGGAAAGCTTTAGGTGAACATCAGACAGCACCAAACCTCTTACACAAAGCCCGATGGTCGTGATTGCATATTTTCTTTGCAAACCATTACCTTGTATAATGAATGGTGTTTGCTCCTGATTCTTCACTGTCTGCAGAAAGGTTCCCAATGTGAGGAGAGGCAGCAGGTATCTGAGCACGTGCACACAGGTGCCAAAGGCAGCTCTCATCTGAGACAGCTGAGAACAAACGGGCAGCAAGAGGTGACTGAATTATCCAGCTGACAGAAACAAGCTGCTGATAGTGTGCTCCTCAACATCTGTTTACTGTGTAAAAGTTATTTACAGAAACATACTAGGCAGCACTCTGCTGAAGTGTGCACTTGATTTCTTTGATTGCCCTATTTTTGCCTCTGGTTTGCTAGATCAGTGCTCCCTCTTACGTGGAGGTGGTTATAATCTCCTGAAATCCAGGTTTCTTTTCTGTTTTGATGTACGTTCTCAGTCCAACCCTTTGCCAGAGAGATGTGTATTAAAGCACCTGCACTGTTTCACTTCCTGCTTTGCTAACAACCATGGACAGAATCAGTCCTTCGTGAGTCCAAAACAGCTCCTGCAGAAGCCCAAGTAGAGGTGCCATTTGGCCATCGTGTACTCCTCTGCACTACTAAAATCCTGCTGTCCCTTTCTCCCGCTCTGCTTAGGATTAAATTGATGTTCATCTCCTCAGATCTCACTCACTACAAAGTAATTAAATAAGATTGGACACACGATAGTTAACATGAACTTCAAGCTGTTGCTTGAAATAGCAGGTAACAGATGGAGACAAAAGACAGTAACTACCCTGACACTTCTATCTTTAAGTGTTTGTTTATGCTAAAAATATGCTCCAGCTCAACAAGCTTGCCTTTGCTTATAACCTTCCGTGTGAATTTAACCTATGCTTCAGAACTGCCCCCAGACCCAAGGCCAACTTTACCAATATTTTCTGAAATCATCAGGAGTTCTGGGGTTTGAATCTATAAGATTAAATTAAAAACAAGCAAAAAACAACAAAAACCGAAACAAAAAACAACGGAACAGAAACTAACACGGCTTCCAGATTTTATTCTCTGACTTTATTTAGAATGTCTGACTGCTGATCGCTGATGCCAAACACGATGGTAGGTGGCTGCAGGTCCCACCCCCGCCTCTGGGCTGAGACCCAGCGCAGCACCGGGCAGCGATGCACGGCTTGGTGGCTGTTTGCCTGGGGAAGGATTACAGAGCCTGGTGCATGAATAATCATCCATAACTGAGGGTGAAATCCTATACCTAATGTAAAGATCAGTGCTCTGTCCACAAAATCACCCCCTGCCATGACACCGATAGCTCCCTTTCTTCTCTATACTGAGTTATGAATGACCTTAGTTCAGAGTGAATTTCCTCTCACTGCCATACAAACATATGAAGGATAATTGAGGAATAAAAGGGAAATTGTCACAGGAGATGCATACTTGTATGCGGAATATGCTGTCCAAACATTTCCAAAATGTTCATGAACTTTACCTTCTTTTTTTCTTTTTTTCCCCAATATGCACATTATATACACACCACAGGCTCAGTTTTCCCATATTGGTGCTTCTCTTCATGCCCGAACTCCTTACATCTACAGAGTCCCTGAAGAAGCAAAACAGTTTTTTCTGATATTGAACATAATGTATGGGATTCTTCCCCAGCTGCTGGCTTACAGGTGTGTCCACAAGCCCGAGTTTTTTATGAAGGCGAAAGAAGAAGAAAAAACAGAATAGCACAACTGTTTTCAGCTCCTCTTTTTGGCTGTGTATGTAATTGGGTTTGGATGTAATGGAACTTGCTCGGACAGAACCCAAATGAGGTGTGCCAGATTGCACAGCTGTGTGGAGATGCATGGCCTTGTTTGTTCACCTGACTCAAAAAGGGAAAATAAAGATAACTGCTTTCAATATCACTTCTCAACATGTTGACTCCAAGCACAGTTCGTACTTCGTATATGGTTCATTTTTAAAATATTGCATGGAATTAAATAATAACAGTGGCAGTGTTCTGCGTCCACACACTGAAGAATATCAGTTAGCAATCCCTATGCAAACTTACTACAGAATGTGAAGGTCAAGATTTTCAAGTGTCAGAAATTAACATACATAACTCTGTAACATGCACATGTTTTATTTGTCAAAAAGTAATGTCTCGTGGGTCAGCTTGTTAAAAACCCCAAGAAATCTTTCAAGAAGCAATCCACTGTGATGGTATGACTCCATTTATGCTATGCAAGTCGTATAGTTTTCTTAATACTTTCAAGGATTCACTTCTGCAAGGACTACTCATCTGCTCGAAGTTAAGCATGTGCTCACTTGTGTTTCTGAGCTGGACATGGAGTGCTCCCTGCCTTGAGCAGCAGCCCTTCCACACTAACATGCATTTTCCAAGAGGAGGGTTCTGCTGAAGCGTTACCCTGTGCAGCTCCTTTTGCTGACGGTGTTAGGCCATAAACAAGTAGCAGCATATACAGACACCTTGCTCGGTCTGTTTAGGTTTCTGCTTGCAATCGCTACTGATACTTCAAGCAGGATATTTAGTGCCTTTCTTGCAGATGAAATTGGCTGATACATTTTAACTGCACACACTTTATTTTGGGGATGTTGAATTTTGGGTGTTTTGACTTGGAGAATTTCAGTTTTCTTTTTGAACCTGATCAGTAACAGGAAAGCATCAGCTCATGCGCATGCATGTTGCACTCTACACAAGGGGACTTTCAGAGCAGCAGGAAAGTCATGCGTTCACGCTCCGCAGTGAAACACTGAGGCGTGGTTCGTAGCAGCGCTCAGAAGACAGAACCCATGGTTTCATACCTCCACCACAGGGCAGGCCCAAAAACCACAGCACATCTTTGTCAGTGCTTCTTGGTAAAAGGGAACTTAAGCAATGGTTTCCTTCAAGCACCCAACCTCCCTGGTGCGGAATCCTTCCACGTGCGCTCGAGTCTGGGACAGCTCCAACCCCGTCCTCCCAAGAAAACAAGCCCTGAGCTGTTGGGCTGCAACAACACGATGTCTCACAGACATTTGCACCTCTGATGTCACTTCTAATGTTTTTAAAGAAACTTTGAATACATTCAAGGTGAATTTAATAACCTCCTGTTATCCAGAAAAGGCAAAGTACAGAAAAAATAAAGATCTCACCTGCACTTGTATCTATTATGGTCAACTCATGTTAACAGAATGTTTTGCTTTAATACTTGACTTACATTAATACCTCACATTATTACACGTATGAAGCCAAATATGACGCTAACTTAGTTGCTTACAACCTCAAACCTTACTCCCAATACACATTCCAATAAATTTATTCTGTAAAAACAATACATTTTTTTGTTTTCTTTTTGTTTCGTTTTTTGTTTTTTTGTTGTGGTTTTTTTTTTTTTTTTTTAGTTTTTTACAGTAAACTCGTCAACTACAAACCTTGAATACGCAAAAGATGTTCCAAGGACAAGCATAACAAGGATTGATAAAACCAGACTAAATATGTTTTCACAATAAAAGCTGGCATAAAAATAAATAAAAATCTCTATTATCACAATAGCAACAATAATGTACACAGAATAATGGATTTGGAATGCTTACTTACTAGTCTAGTTCTATTTCCAAAAGGAAAAAAAAGCCAGAATGACAGCATCCTTTTTAAGCCTTTCATTAATTAAAATCGATGTTTTCTTTTGGTTTCCCATAGGGTTCTATATCACAGTAAGCTTAAAAGTGGAAAGCATCCAAATGAATGATCTCAAATTGTGTTGGCATTGGAAAAAATCCTTGTATTAATCTAAAGAAACACAAAAAGACTTTCACTAACTTCACATATAGGAACTAAGTCAGATAGTGTACATTACATCATGATTTTGAGAAGTATTAAGAGTATAACTAGCTAGGTACTTCTAGGAAGGAAAGGTATTGTATTACATTATTGAACTTGGTGGTGATCTCAACGCAAAAAGATTTTTTCTTTCATGTTGTAAACGGATCAAAACCCAAGAAAGCATGGCCATAGGGAAATTTAAACTAATGTCTGTGGGTGGAAAATACTGTAGCGTTGTATGGAAGGGACTCTTTGCCAAGATTTACTTGTGTTTAAAAAAAATGCTGATATAGAATGATATAATCTGGAGTTACACCTTTTCTGTTTAGAAAAGGGATCTAAAACATGTTCAAGTATGCGGCATCTTCATAAACCTCAGCCACTGGGAAAGGGCAACTTCATGCAACCAAATAATATGAAAATCGAAACGCAACCCTTAGAAAAAAGGGTAAAATGTCATTTCTGCAAACACAACAGATAGGAATGTGAATAATGTGCATACAAACTGGGATGCTGTTGATGATACTAATGAACAGATGTGATGACTCATATCAAATCCAAGAATATTAGACAACCAAACATGTAACCTTCTTGTGTTTTCCCTTAATATTCAGCAGTCATTATGTTGGTTAAGTCTGAAAGAGAGAAAGAGAGAAAGAAAAAAAAAATCACATTTCATGTACAAAAAAGCTTGCTCTAACAAACCTGATATAATTAATGCCTTATTGCTACATTTCAGAGCTGCCGGCACAAACAGCTGCTTGGTCTCTTCAAATGACATTTTTGGCAATTTTTTTTTTTCCAGGAGAAAACTGCATACGTTTCATCAACCCAACAGACCACCACAAAACATTGAAGAGCACAGTTCAAACATTCAGGGCTTTATTCAAATGAGCAACTCAAGGCGCATGTGTAACGAGCTGTTTTTCTTTTTCCCCAATCCCTTAATAGTGTCTTGCAGTACACACAGCCAGATGTCACTGATGGCCTCGTGCAGGAGCTGAGGGCTGCTGTACTCCTGCATGCTCTGTGGTGAGGATGCTCTTTGGCTCAAACAAATGAACGCTTCACAGGCACAAAGAAAGACAAACACTTCTCATAGCTAATGCGTCTGAACGTTACTTCTGAAAGGGAAATAGTTTGGCTTGGAGTTCACTCTAAAGAGACGACAGAAAAGGAAGAAACTTCCACTTCAAGACTGAGTCAAGGTCAGCTCTGGCTTCCACTGACACTAGCAGGAACGGCATCAGACCATCCCCATGGCCTCTTGGCAAGCATCTCCAAGTCTGTTTCTTGACATTAAAGAGAGAGAGCTAAACTCCCTTGCAGACACAGGGACACACTACTTTTATCCAACAGCATGAAGACAGGCAGTGCTACTTGGCTACCTTACCCTTCCTTCTTGTAAAGAATTCAGGACATTAATGCTTGTCCACCCACACCCTGACAGAAAAAAACACAACGTGCAAGCAATATGAAGGCACTGATAATGTATTTGGCCAAGAAAACAATCATCTCAAGAAATTATGGAGTTTTGGTGACAGGTTAAATCCACTGGGGATGGCAGAAATTTCATTTTACAGAGGATCTGTAAGAGAATATAAGATATTTTAACAATTCTGCGCAAACATTTTGCTGCCCAAGCTCTCTCCCATTCTGGCCCATCATACTTGCTGTGCGTGATGCCATGGCTAGAAAAGAATACACTTTTCTGCTCTAGAGGATAAGAGCATTCCAGTGCCCACTGGGATCCCAGTCTGGTGGCTGCTCCTCTGAACTGTGGGGTCTGTTAGTTCACTGTGGTTCTTCTGTCCTAACAACAAAGAGTTTGCAAACTACTGCAGCTCAAGCAGTAAGTAATGCACTTTCCACCTGTGAGTCCTGGTCTACCTGACTAGTGGCACATGAGAAGGGGTTACTCCAAAATGCTTGCACACAAATGATGGCTCACAGGCAGCAGCCTGAGCCCCGCCTACCCTGGAGAAGCATAGTGACGTAGCTCATCCCAAGCACCAAGGGTCCAGGACTTCGCTGCTCTCTAAGATTCAATGAGATTGTGCTTACAGATGCTTTGGAGACATGGCTTGGAGGGTTTCACTGCCATTTCTCTTCCCTTCAGAAGGTGGTGCAGATACCCAATAGGGCAATGCCAAACGATTAGTCAATCAGCACCTTCAAGCAAAGTTCGTAGTGACAGCTGCTAGCCAGTCCTGGTAAGGCTGAATGGTTGCTGAAGCAGTTGGTCCCTGCAGCACTGCTGCCAGATCCAGCAAGGAAAGCTGTCCTTTTGCAGCACTAAAGCTTTGCACTTATTAACAACTATGCAGCACTGGGTTAATGCCAGCAGGTTGGGTAGCACCCTGCTCCCGTGGTGTGCTGCGAACATTAACAGTTCCATTACCCACAGATGTGTCTGCTGGGCCATGGTGCAGCACAGCAGGGAGAACAAAGAACCAGGTGCATGAACCACGCTCTAGGACTTCAGCAGTTCGCAGCATCTTCTTCCACCACGACACACACAGTGTGCCCCATGCACACTGCCTGCTTTCCCAGGAGCCAGCAGCGCTCCTCCCCACATGCATGCAGCCCACGGGATGTGCGGCTGTACAGGAGCACCTGGATCTCTCCTGGCTCCTTCATTCAGCAGGGCAGTGTGACTGCCGGGCTCCCATGTCATCTGCTGAACAAGGATGTGGCTGAAGGAGGATGTGGCACAGCCGCG